AATCCGTCGAAAATTTAAATGATTCAGTGATTCGTCCTATAGCTTAGTCATACACCGAAACCAAAAATACGGCATTATTTTACGACAGAAAAGCGATTTGGTGAAAAGATGCGATTGTGCGTTCTGAAGGAACCAAGTTTTGCAGGCTAAACAGACAGTCACAGCCGACCGTATCGTTATACAACAAGCCGATGACCGTTGAAATGCCTTCTCCTGTCGACAGTGGAATCGGACCAGACATCATGGTCACACCAAAGCAGGAGGTGCAGGACAACGCGGTACGTTGCCATATGTTCTGTCGTCATTTTGGCCCCGCTGACCATGGCGTCAACTATGCACGATGAACGTTAACTGTTTAGGGCTACACCTACACGGACCTGCACTCGTCTGTGATGCAGGCAATTCAACAACGGCCAAACAAAGATTACAGTAGTCCAAGGCCGAGTCAAACCAGTGAGCGTATTGTCACCAACCGCGATTCTCCGGTTCACATTCCGAAAATGTAAATCGCCGTTTTTTAAATCAGCTCTCAGTCAGACACTGACTTTCAGCATGACAAGCGTTGGTTTTCAGTACACGCTAGAAGCACCAATTTCGACGTGTGTTAGAAAGGAGGACGATCGGATGACGTACATTAATAAGGGTAGACATATTTGATGCGGTGGGTGCGAGTGACGATATGTGCATGTTTAGGGCAGTTCTACACAGTTACCTGTGAATATATCCACGACCCAGTGAAACCGCTAAAATCTATTGCAGTAAAGGTAAGGTCGTTCATTAAGCGAGTGTCATTTGATAGGACCGAGAATTCTTCATCATTTTTTAGTCGATCATGATGATCGTATTCCGCGAAGAGAAGTCATATGAGGAAGAGGTAAAGTGCTGGCAGTTTTGGCACTCGAGGCAGCACAGCATGAAGCAAAGGATCTTGGATGTTGGTAAAGTTTCACAAAGCCATGTTTCGCTTCATGTGTCGTCGATAACAAGTTTGTAACAAAATGTGACGTAGAGAGGTTTGGCTGAATTTTGCCCAAGAGGCTGGCGAACTCGTTCGTCAAACTGTGCAGAGTTAGCCGACGTTCGGTCCATTGTCGACGATGCAAGTTCTCAAAAATGAGCTTAAATGATAATTTATAACAGCTACACGGTCATCAAAAATCTTTCTTAAACAAACCCTGTGTGCATCTGTGAAATGGTGGTTTCAGAGACGTGCAGCAATCAAACCGTTAAAATCCGTCTTGTACGATTGAACGCTTGCGCACGAAACGACGTTACTCTGAGTAAGCAACTGTCGAGGGTGGAAACGAATGATATTCGATGATCGAAAGCGACTACTTCGTAAAAGTACGGAAAAGTTTTCTGCAGAAGGTTGCTGACGCGATTTCGGTGACGAGCGTTTGGTTTCGTTCAAGTTAGGTACCTGCGAGCGTCATGAGGGCGAGTGATGCCGGTACGCTGGTTTGCATAAACCGAATCTTTTCCCTAGTTAAGCCAGGAATGCTTTAAAGCCGGTGATAAAAAAATTCTCTCGGACGTCACAGTTGTTTGTGAAAACGATTAGCTGAGCTCACTTTGCTTCAAAGTGGCCACGAAGAAGTCGCTCTGGACACGATGTAAAGCGGAAAAATAAAGAACGACCACCCGACAGTTTACCAAGGGCAGGCAAACTGTTGGCGTACGTTTGATCGCCCCCTCTTTTCATCGTATAGACACCAGACACCGGCGACGACCGGACAGGATGGCGCAAACGTAAGTTTTTTGCGACTTTCGACGACCGCTGCATATTACCCTCGTGTAAAAGGCCGTACTCAGTGCAGCGAGCAATGCAAATACTTGAGAGCCCTCATTCCGACACAGAACGACTATTGGATGACGCATGTCGGGGTGAGTTTATTGATCCTGTTGAATCAGAGCCTAACAAACTCTCAAGTCTTGT